AAAAATTTTTTTTTTTTTTTTTTTTTTTTAATCTATAAAACATGAATTATTTATTTATATTTTTCCAATAAATGTAAAAATCATATGAAAAAGAATATTAATAATATAAATAAAAATTAAAAAAATTATAAGTATATAAATAAAAAAAGGAAATAAAAAGAAGAAAGATATATTTTTTTTTTTTTTTTTGAAATATTTAATAGTTTTTCAGTTTTTTGTTTTAATTTACATTTTTATAATTTATATATAAATTTATAAAAAAAGATTCGATTGCTTTCCATAGTAAGCAGAGCTGATATTCTTTATTTTGATGAGCATAACTATTATTCATACATAAATTATTTTGTAAAATGTTTATATTATCTTCCCATAATTTTATTTTCATTTGTTTAAAATCATAAAAAAATAAAAAATCATCAAAAGTAAGTTCCTTATCTTCATGAATTTTTTTCTCTAATGCATTATTACAATAATTTAAAAATTTACTGAGATAATTATCATAATCAACATCAGAAAAATTATATAATTTTGTAAATGATGAATTTAAATCATCATAATTTGTTTGATAAAATATTTTTTCTAAATGGTTATCATAAGAAAATTTTTTATGTAATAAAGTATTCACATTTTCCATAATTATATTATTAATGCTATATATTTTATTAAAATTATTTTTTGTTAAAATATTTAAACGTGAAGAATATATTAATTGGTCTATATCTGCACAGTTAAACATGAATGTTAATATTGATAAAGTAAATGTATCAATATAACTTGGATAATCTTCTATTTTATCAGTTAATTTAAATAAATTTTTATATTTTTGATTGTTGCTAAAATGAATAGAACTAAAGTTGTTATTCAATCTGTATTTAAATAAATTATAGTTATTTATTCTATTATTTTCAATACTATTATTATATATTTTATTATTATTTATTTTATTATTTCTCTTTTTAGTGTATTTCTCTATATAAAACTCAAATAATCTTTTCCTTGTAAAAAAGTTAGGAAGATGAAAATATATAATTTTATCAAATCGTTTTGATCGAACTAATGCAGTATCTAACATTTTGTATCTATTAGTTGCACCAATAAATAAAATAAAACTTTCTCTTCTATATTTTTTTAAATTAAATATTTCTTCTACTTCCATCAAACTTAAATTATTATTTACATAATATTGAAATATCTCATAAGCATCTTTTTCATTCAAGTTATTTTCGTTTTCATTACTTACCTTTTCTAAAAATAATTTTTTTAAAGTATTAAATATGTTATTTCTCTTGTTATTTTCATATAATAACTGCAAATTGTTATATTCATGTAATGAATCTATTTCTATAAGTAACTGATTCAACGTTTGAGTATATTCCTGATTTTGATTACAAACATCATTCATATTTCTACTTAACCCAACACTATCTATTTCATCAATAAATATAACAATGCATTTTTTTTTTTTTTTTGCTTTTTTAAATAAATTTCTAATTTTAGATGCACCATTTCCTATATATAATTCTATAAAACTTGAACCAGATAAATGTAAAAAATCAAAATTTAACTCTTTTGCAATCGTTTTTGCAAGTAGACTTTTTCCAGTTCCTGTTTCTCCACAAAGTAAAATTGTGTTACAAATTATTGAATCTTCAAAAATTTTAGGATATAATAAAAAGAATAGTATAGATTTAATTTCTTTTTTTGTTTCATCATTTAAAATAATTTCATTAAGTGCTTCTATTTTTTCCTTTTTTTCAAACGAATAATCCACTTTTAAAGTAGAAATATTTTTTTCATAAATATAATAGAATGTTAATATAGAGAAAGAATAAGTTACTATATCAAATAAATTTCTTTTAACTGTTTCAAAAAATGGTAATTTTAACACTTTTTCATCTAATATTATTTCTATATTTTCATAAAATTTATTTTTCAACAGATATTTCATTATATAATCATTATAATATATTGCAAATATATTATTATTTTCTCCATTATTATTTATTCCATTATTCCCAATTAGGTTAGTATTTTTAGATATTTTATTATTTAGTAGGTAGCTAAATGTGTTATTGGTTGGATTAAAAATTATTCTTTTTATATTATGTTTATTTATATTATTGAAAAAATGACTATATTCTTTAAATATCACTTTTTCATTATTACATATAAATAAGTTAGAAAAATATTTTGATATATTATTGTAATAATTATAAAACAAAGAAGAAACTTTAGTTCTCATTTTATAATATATATAAATACAGGAAACAACACTAAGAGGTATTAACCAATAAGATTTGTTATTTTTCAATTTGTCAAATATTAATGCAAAATAATTTTTATTATCATAATTATCTTCAACTACATTTTTATCTTTTTTTCTTATAAATTTTTCATTATTATTTACATTATTCTTATCAACATTATTTATAGCTACATTATATAGATGTATGTTATTTTTATCTATTTCACATTCTGTCGTTGAATTTTCTATTATATTATTACCAAAAGTGGTAGAATTATTATTATTATCAGCAGTGGTAGAATTATTATTATTACCAGAAGTGGTAGAATTATTATTATTATCAGCAGTAGTAGAATTATTATTATTACCAGAAGTGGTAGAATTATTATTATTATTACTATTATTACTTATCTTATTATTATTATTATTATTATTATTATTATTGTTAATATTTTTATCTATTTGATGATAAAACATTTCATTTTCTCCTGTTATTTTTGTACTTTTATGTATTTTCAAATTTTGTTCCATTTTTTTCTCTAAAAGTAAGTCATGAAACATTTTTTTTATTGCTAAAATAAATAAGTAACAATATAAATATTCATTAGATTCTATATCTGAGTAATTTTTTTCATTTTTTATTATTCTTTTAATATGTGTATAAATATCTTTTTCTTTATCTGTAAAAATACAATTCATTATTTCTTCATAATATGTAAGTATACTTTTTTCCAGATCTAATAAATCATTACTATCATCCTTTTTTGTTATAAATACATCTTTTTTTATTAATTCCATTTTAAAATTATTTGGTTTCCATATTTTTTTTTCATTATTTTCATTTAAATTTACCGCATTCATATTTTTATCTTTGTATAGATGACTTAACGAAATTAAATAATCACTCATAACCTGTTCAATGTTCGTTTTTCTATCATTTTTCGTCTTCATCTTTTATATAAACAAAATAAATCTTTACTCATTTTCTTATAAATATATACATATATATATATATATATATATATATATATATATATATATATATATATATATATATATTTATGTGTGATAAAAAAAAGAAAGAGTAAATAGTTTTACTAACAATTATTTATTTCAAGAAATTTTTAAAAAAAAATATAGAAGAATTATGAAAAAAAAAAAAAAAGAGAAAAAAAAAATATTTAACAAATATTTTCCTTTTTTTTTTTTTTTTTTTTTTCAANTTTTCCTTTTTTTTTTTTTTTTTTCTTTCAAGTTTTTTTAAAGTTTTCTATTATATTAGCTAAAAAAAGTTTTTCTTAATCGAAAGAAAATTTTATCTTATATTGAAAAAATACAAAATTTGTTACTTTTTTAAAAAATATTTACATTAATAATTTGACAAATGAAAACGAAAAAAAAAAAAAAAAAAAAAAAAAAAAAAAAAAAAAATTATAGTAAAATTATAGTAAAATTATAGTAAAATTAACAAAAAAGATAAAATTAAAAAAAGATGCAAACAATTACTATATAAATAATTTTTAAAACAGAAAAAAATAAAAATTTTGACAAAATATAATTTTTTTTTTTTCTACACATCAACTAATTTCAATATATTTTAATACATAAATTTTACAGTGTATTTTGTTCTTCTTTAAGTTCTATTTTTATAACTTAAAAAATTGGTTACCACTTTTTTATTAATTTTCATAATTCAAATTAAATATTAAGAAAAAATTTTGAATGCTTCTTATTTTTTTTAAATTATAAATCAATATCTTTCTCTACATTTTTTAAAAGATTCCATTTCTTAATCCTTTTTTTCCATTTCCAATTAGCTTTATAACAATTGTGTTTGATTGCTATTTTCTTTTTTTTTTTTTTTTTTTTTTTAATTTTCTTTTTATGCATTTATAGTGTAATATTTTTCTATTTTAGTTTCATTTATTGTAATAAATTCTTTTTATATCATTGTTTTTTTTTTTTTTTTTTTTTTTTTAACTTTTTTTTTTTTTTTTTTTTTTTTTTTTTTTTTAATTTTCTTTTTATGCATTTATAGTGTAATATTTTTCTATTTTAGTTTCATTTATTGTAATAAATTCTTTTTATATCATTGTTTTTTTTTTTTTTTTTTTTTT